ATCGAAACGTCAGCCTTCCTGCTCCTCTGATGCTGCTTGGCCTGCTGTGTTCATCCAGCTCTACACCTTGTTATCTCTTTATCTGTAACATTCTAGTTTACCCCTGGAAGTACTTACTTAATTTCCTTTTGAAAACAACAGTTAAATCTGCTTTCACGCTCTGTCAGGTAGTACATTCCAGATTATCATCGCTCACTCTAAAAATGTTATTCTTTGTAACTTTTGGTTCTTATTCTAATCATCTTAAACATGAAGCTTCTCATTTCAGAATCTTCTCTTAGTAGTTTACCTCTCTTTACTGTGTACAGATGCTTCATGAACACTTCTTTCATTGGAACAGAAATTGGTCATTGAAACCTAGCCTACACCAATGTGATCATAGCTGATTGAACATTTCAGTACCTTTTAGTCTTTCCATCTTTCAAATCTGTCCTCGACCTTTTCAAAGAAGAGCAAGCCCACCTTCACTGTGCCTTTAAAGTGAAATAGATTTGAAGAAAAATAATATTTGATTTTCATTTTTAAAAATGCTGCCTTCTTTCTAGGTAAGTAAGTATAATTGAGAATAATATGGATACTGAACAATACTGCTTGACATTTCAGGGGAAGAAAGTTAGTACAGAAGGAAAATACTGCAGATGCTAAAAAAACTGATTTTAAAATGGAAAATGCTATAAGGTCTCAGGAGATCTGGCAGCTTCTGTGGAGAGGGAAACCAATTTAGCATTTCAGACTGATGACCTTTCATTAGTGTTCTGTAAAATATGGATTAGTTGTGTTATCCAAAGGAAGTTGCCCTTACAGTAATCACACACAGGCTCACCACAGAAGGTATGATTACTAAATTTGCTGACAACACAAAAATAGTTTTGAAAGTAAGTTGTGAAGAAAACAAAAGGAAATTACAAAAAGATATTGAAAGGTTAAGTGAATGGGTAAACATGTGACAAATGGAGTATAATGTTGGAAAATGTGAGCTTGTCTAGTTTGGAAGGAAGAATAAGAAATAAGCATGTTATCTAAATGTGAGAGATTGCAGAGTTCTGTGCCCTAGTTCGTTGATCGCAAAAGAGAGACTTCTTGTGCAATAATCTACAATTCTGGGGTCACCCATTCAAAACAGATGAAGCATTTTTGTTTCCATGAATTGAGAGTCTTTAGAGCTGTTTTCCTGAAAAGTTAGTGGAAGCTGAGTCCTTGTTAAGTAAGGGCTTGAAAGATTATCAGGGGTAGGTGGGCATGGGGATTTGAGGTTACAATTAGATGAGCCATGATCTTATTGGATGGCAGAGCATATCTATGATGGACAGGTTTAATCAGGTAAATGAGCGTTTCTTACTCAAAAATGTCTTGTGTTCTTACATTGACTTTGAACATTTGTAAAAAGATTTTACTTTGCCAATTTGAGCCCAGGTGCTTCAAGTATGATGAAATACCACATACTTTTTTTAGTGGTGAACAGTAACTTGTTTTCTAAAGTAAATTGCTACTATTTTTCAAAACTACTTTTGACTGCCAATGACACATTGAATTCTGCCATAATGTGTGTCGTACCAAAATATATATTTAGTGCATTTGTACTATTCAGTTAAGTTCTTGTTAGGTGAATCCACCAGCAGAAGTAAATACTAGATCTTTAACAGCTCAGGTTTGTGTTAATATTTTGAATCTCACTGTGCAGGAATTAAACCCTCATTAAAGTGGAAAATCGTACAAGAATGGAAATTTGGGAAGTACCAGCGTTCTTCAATACAAGAAAGGGGAGCTAGAACTGTTTATAAGTCTATATCCAAAACAATTTGCAGGCAAAACAATTTTTTTGCAAGATTTTAAGATCAGAGGCAAGTGTTTATCTAAGCCTGGAGCTACTTAATCTTTTGGTGTCATGGACTGATGAACAAAAGTTGAGGCTGTACAGTTAAGTGATTCAAACAAACCAGTAGTTTCAATTAAGTGGCTGGGACTTGCGGTAGAGGCACTGTGCTAATAAGTTGGATTTGATCAGAAATTATTGTGATTAGTAGCAGATAACTGTGAATCATTTGCATTAAGATGAGCAATTTTGGGTTTCACTGGTTTCCTTTCTTTGAACTTAGTGATGATGTGGAGGTGCCCGTGTTGGACTGAGGTGGACAAGGTCAAAAATCACATGATACCAGTTATTGTCTAACAGGTTTATTTGAAAACACAAAACCTTCGGAGTCTTACTCCTTCAGGTGTTAGTGATAGAGGTGGCATCAGACACAGAATTTATAAGCAAAAGA